AGTAGCCGTTCACTGGTGATGTTGCAGCATAAACAAAAATAGCAGTACTTAACATTGATCCCCTCCTAAAATAAAAAACATTTTTTTGCTATACAAATGACTGCAAAAAGAAAAATAAAAGTATAAAAATAATATGGAATGCTTAGTTTTACCTAGTATACCACTCAAAGAATGACTGACAAGCAAATATGCAACAGCAACAAAAATAATGAAAAGAGTTTTTTGCCTCAGAATGCTAGCAGTTCAAAAGCATATAAAAATGCAAGTAGAAAAATAGGAACCACCTTTGGTGGGAAGGTAACAGCGTTTCGTGCGCCTTTGGTGTTGAGTCATGCCGGCCACATGACAACAGAGACGTCTTCGGAAAGCGCTGGTTCTTTGGCTTTGAAACGGAGATAAGCATCGCCCCCTAGAGTTGGGAATGACTAACACGTATGGGCAAGGGGAACCTTTACTTTTATAAACATACAGCTAATAGCAAATAAAATAATTTTACTAGAAAAAAATGATATTGTGTTAATTCTTCTCTATTTCAAAGCTGTCCCTGCTTTTGCCTCTATTAGCCTCTCTCTGAGACTGTATTGCTCTTGCAGCTTTTTTAGCTTCTAGTTGTCTCTCAAAGGAATCTAGCAAAAAAAAATAACTTTATAGTGTTCTCAATGGTACCCATATTAGAAAGAAGAATAAAATATCTACAGTTGGTCAGTAGGCAACTAGACTGGATATATGTGGATACTTTATTCATATCCATATCTTGGGAATGTTTATCTTTTATGGATATAAAAATAAACACAGAAGCAGCAGCAAGTTTTTATATATATATATACTAAAAAATAGTATTTCCACTGCTGCTTCCTAATATGTTAAAAATCAACCGCTTTTCCATATTCAGACAAAAACACAAAGAAAGGCAATTTAATGGTATCACATTCAAAGAATACAAAAATATAGCTGAATTTCCAAATATCCTACAACTTGTAGTAACAATTATAATTTGTTAGTGGATATATTTCTTGAAACATGAGCCAATAACAGTCTAAATGTAATAATCTTTATTAGATATTGCCTATTTTGACCAGTACAAAATTTTAGAGTACATAATACGCTGTTTTATCAACTATGACTTTCTTGGTTATTTCCTTGTAAAACTCAACATGCACTATTATTAATACTTTTAATGATTTTGACCACAAAATTATATACCCTTCTATTGACTTTAGGAACTATACTTACTATTTTATGATTTCTGTTACTTTGTGAAGAATATTTAACAAAATCACACTAAAAGCCTTTCCTATTGCAATGCCTGGATAATTTTGAATCTTTCTAACCTAAAAAATCAACATATATTATTTTCATCTATTTATTAAACATTTTCTATGCTTTTACCCTGAAAACAACTTGATGGCTTACATTAAAAACATGCCCATATGTGGATTAATGCAAATAACCTCACCAAATAGCGATATGTCTGGGAATTGAAGTCCATTACAGCTGGAGGGCATGTGAACTGATTTAAACAAGCTAGATATTTTGTTTTATCTTTGGCTTTAATACTATTTGATCTTCCCAACTTAATTTTGTTTAATGTTCATGTGTGTCTCCAGGAGCTTCCTATATTTATAATGATAAAAGCATATGTATGTGTGCCATGATCTGCATGTAACATCACCACAGGGCTTGCTTTCTAATACTGAAACCATGCTTTATTGTGCTGGTCCACCACCACAGACACTATTTATGGTTCTCTTCTGAAATTTGTTATACTATATTAAATGTTGATATTTTTCTGTTAATACCTACAAAAATGATTTGGCTGTATAGAACCAAGTTTTTAATAAGATTTTTTATTTGCCTGAAAGGAAGTTTAGGTTTACTCCCAATAATTTACTTCTAATATTGGAGGATTGTTTTAGATTTGCTCAGAATATGATAACAGATGGTGGTGGGGAATATTTCTTCAGATCTTCAAGGGGGGAGGGGGTGGGCTTAAATACAGAGAATATTCCCACTACTAGATTTATTCTATCTTGCACATAGGTCTGATGTATTTGTATTTGTATTTATTGTCACTTATAGGCTGATGTGGGTGAAGTTGGGTTCAGCGGACTATGTTCTATCCAAGGAAGAGAGTTTAGGATTTAATTCATCATTTTAAATTTAAAATATGTATTACCATAATTTTTACTTTACCTATGTTAACACTCTGAGTCCAATAAATATAAGAGCATTATCTATGTATCTTCTGCTTGTACAGCCATTTTTCTATCTTTGGAAAACTCTAGTGCTCCAAAAATAGCTGATATACAAGTGGGCCCATTAGACCATACCAATATATATTTTTATATAACCAGAAAGTAATACTTACTCTGTATATAAATCTTCCAGCATGGCAACAATGATTACTATGAAAGAAACTGCAAAGATTTGGCAGCCAGAACCAATAAGAGATGAAAATATTAAAGGATGACTAGATGGCCTGAAAACATCTCCATGAACTTGTTTCCAACCATATTCATCTCCCAGATCTCTATCCTGCACAAAACACAATACATTCATTGAAAACAACAACAAAAAAGCTAACTGCCAAACCCCAGTCTAATTCAGTCTATAAAATATCACCCACAACTTGCTCTACTGAAACTCCTTCTAACCTGTGCAATATTCTCTCCTTACTCCTACCTTGCAGCAAGAGAAAGCTAAAAAGCTCACATCTTTGGTCAAAAGCTTATGATAATCTCTGATCAACAACTTGCAATCAGTGGTAAAGCAGTGGTGGGTTGAGGTGGTACACCCTGGTACGGGCATACCAGAGCCTGTCCGGAGCACAAAATACCGTTCCAGAATGGTGCTCCGGAGGGACCACCCACCCACCCGAGCTCCTTACCGGTCTTTTAAGTCTTTGGGGCTTCCACGCACGGCGCATACAGCGCCTGCGTGATGCTCCACTGAGCAGCTGGAGCGTTGTGGAGGCTCGTAGAAGTGGTAGACGACACCGGGCCCGTTCCAACCGTACCGGTTGCAAGGGGATCCGGAACCCACCACTGAAGTAAAGTGACATTTCTGAGGACAGATAGTGGTGATGGGGAAGGGAGCAGTAACCCATGTTGTTACTACTGTAGAAAACACATGCAAGAGAATGCACAAAAATGCATTAAGTTCTTCATGCTTGCAGTATACATCAGAATGCTTTGACAATAAGACTCATTTTGGATCTTCCTACCTTTATGTCAAAGCCCCAAATTAGGCTATTTACTGTTGATGAGCAGTAGTAAAAATGTAACCTGACATTTTTATATGTGGGCTTCACATTAATTATTATTATTTGTTTAAATTAGGAATACATACATATTTTCAGGTTGAAATTGATTCCTATCAGGAGCTACAATTGAACAGGACCAAATCCAAAATTAAATTTGATTCAAAATGTAAGCAAACATATTTCATATGATTATTCCTCATAATAATTTCCTTTATTTTTTTAGTTGCAATTTTTAAATGAGATTTGGACCTATACACAATGATTTGGGGATTAAGAATTATGAACCCTTGCATTAAAAGAAAATACAAGTCCAGGTAACCTTCTGCATTATTTTTATAACTTCATTGTATTAATGGAGGAGTCTGAAATCTTTGTTAATAAACTAGTTCAAACAATGTAATTTCAGAAAAACTAGAAAAAATGTAAAGCACAAACATTATAAAATGACATAAGTTATTGCATGTCTCGTATTGACCACAAATTTATCCTCTAATTTAGATTTAAACACAGACTTAGTTGTCTATGTTTCATTACATGTCTGAATGAATACATACGAAACTTAAATGCAAAAAGGTTTTCGATATGGAGGTGTTAAGGTTAGGGTTAGGACTCTTATGCTGGCTAGAAAATTTGGGAGGCATCTGCATAAATTGCTTATTCTACAAGTCAAATGTCTCAGATTCAATCCCTAGCTAGGAAAGATATTTTTGAAAAGGATAGGCTCTATCAGATAGAACACTGGCCTAACTAGTTATGTAAATCAGCTGTCCAATAAGTGTAATCATTTTGTCCCCAGACTAGAGGATCAAGTCTTGAAGAAAATATATTTTTTCCCACAATGAACCACTGGATATGGTAAAAAAAAAAAAAAAAAAA